TGACTTATCACTGTAATTACAAAGAATATATGTTTAAAAAACATCTTCCAGAAACACCCTGATGTGTGTGTGTGTGTGTATATATATATATATATATATATATATATATATATACACACACACACATTTATATATTCACATATATGTACACTCTCTTTCTTTCTCTCTCTCAAACAAGATCAAAGTGATGCGAGGTAATATTTTAACCAAATTGCGTTGAAGCTACAAGCATTATCTGATATGATAAAAATTTGAGAACTGAATAATTATCAATAAATGGATTGTCAATAAAATTGAAACACTCAACATATGAAACAAAAATAGAATGCATGGTAGGGATAAAATTGTTTCATCATTCCACTTTGGCTTTGTTTCAAATATCACTTGGGCCCATAACTTCAATGTAATTTGGGATTTGTTTTCAATGTACCGAGGAGAAATTAGAGGAAAAAGAAGAATGTCATCAGGTTTTAAAAAATAAAACATTTTCAAAAATGGGTTAATTTCTTCAAGTCTTGTCCAAGGAGAATATTGTACAAGAGAGAAAGACTTCCAAATAAATTTCCATTTTGAAGTGGTGTGAAAAATTACATTGAAAATCAATACTGATATACTGATGAAGCATAAAAGTGGCCCAAATCAGGGGTTTTAATTTTGGAATTTAAAGCTTTTGAATTATCAGGACAATAACCATCTGACATCAATGAGTGTTCAAATTTTGGGGGGGGGGGGGCGTTTGGGGGGGGCTAAATTGTTATTACAACTGCAATTAACATTTCCAACTTGGGAAAGGGACCAATTTCATATTTCCTAAATAGAATTGAACAAGCCTGAAAAATAATGGAATGTCATTGAGAGAATGGCAAAAGAGAGCAAAAGAGAGCAAAAGGAGTTTGATGAATGAAATAAGATTTGACAGAAAAAGAAATAATAAATTTCTATCATTACTGCTAGTCTTATAAAAGGACTTTATAGAAAAATGGAGAGAGAGAGAAAGAGAGACAAAGAAATACAAAAAGCACTTGAAAATGCTAAGAGAAGGAGTGATAAACTAGAGAAAGAAGAGAGAGCAATAGAATTGGGAAAAAGAAATGAACTAAAAAAGTCACAGATAGAGAGGGACCAACAAAGACACAGAGAGAGAGAGAGAGGAGCCAACAAGGACACAGAGAACAAAGAGCCAACACACAGAGAGAGAGAGAGAGGAGCCAACAAAGACAGAGAGAGAGCCAGCCAACAGAGACAGAGGAGAGAAGAAAGACAGAGAGAGAGAGAGAGAGAGGAGCCAACAAAGACAGAGAGAGAGAGAGCCAACAAAGAGAGAGAGAGAGGAGCCAACAAAGACAGAGAGAGAGAGAGAGAGACAGAGAGAGAGAGAGGAGCCAACAGAAGGCCAACAAAGACAGAGAGAGAGAGAGAGAGGAGCCAACAAAGACAGAGAGAGAGAGAGAGAGAGAGGAGCCAACAAAGACAGAGAGAGAGAGAGAGAGGAGCCAACAAAGACAGAGAGAGAGAGAGAGGAGCCAACAAAGACAGAGAGAGAGAGAGAGAGAGTTCACAGAGAGAGAGAGAGAGAGAGAGAGAGAGAGAGCCAACAAAGACACAGAGAGAGAGAGAGAGAGAGGAGCCAACAAAGACACAGAGAGAGAGAGAGAGAGGGAGCCAACAAAGACACAAGGAGAGAGAGAGCCAACAAAGACACAGAGAGAGAGGGGAGCCAACAAAGACACAGAGAGAGAGAGAGAGGGGAGCCAAACAGAGAAGAGAGAGACACAGAGAGAGAGAGGGAGCCAACCAAAGACACACAGAGAGAGAGAGAGAGGGAGCCAACAAAGAGACACAGAGAGAGAGAGAGGGGAGCCAACAAAGACACAGAGAGAGAGAGAGAGAGGAGCCAACAAAGACACAGAGAGAGAGAGAGGAGCCAACAAAGACACAGAGAGAGAGAGACAGGAGCCAACAAAGACACAGAGAGAGAGAGACAGGAGCCAACAAAGACACAGAGAGAGAGAGACAGGAGAGACAGAGAGAGAGAGCCAACCAACAAAAGACACAGAGAGAGAGAGACAGGAGCCAACAAAGACACAGAGAGAGAGAGCCAACAAAGACACAGAGAGAGAGAGACAGGAGCCAACAAGAGACACAGAGAGAGAGAGACAGGAGCCAACAAAGACACAGAGAGAGAGACAGGAGCCAACAAAGACACAGAGAGAGAGAGAGGAGCCAACAAGAGAGAAGAGACAGAGCCAACAAAGACACAGAGAGAGAGAGCAGGAGCCAACAAAGACAGAGAGAGAGAGAGAGGAGCCAACAAAGACAGAGAGAGAGAGAGAGGAGCCAACAAAGACAGAGAGAGAGAGAGGAGCCAACAAAGACAGAGAGAGAGAGAGGAGCCAACAAAGACACAGAGAGAGAGAGAGGAGCCAACAAAGACAGAGAGAGAGAGAGAGGAGCCAACAAAGACAGAGAGAGAGAGGAGCCAACAAAGACAGAGAGAGAGAGGAGCCAACAAAGACAGAGAGAGAGAGGAGCCAACAAAGACAGAGAGAGAGAGAGGAGCCAACAAAGAGAGAGAGAGAGAGAGAGAGAGAGAGAGCCAACAAAGAGACAAGAGAGAGAGAGAGGAGCCAACAAAGACAGAGAGAGAGAGAGGAGCCAACAAAGACAGAGAGAGAGAGAGAGGAGCCAAAAAAGACAGAGAGAGAGAGAGCCAACAAAGACAGAGAGAAGGAGCCAACAAAGACAGAGAGAGAGAGGAGCCAACAAAGAGAGAGAGAGAGAGAGAGGAGCCAAATAACAGAGAGAGAGAGAGGAGCCAACAAAGACAGAGAGAGAGAGAGCCAACAAAGAGAGAGAGAGAGAGAGCCAACAAAGACAGAGAGAGAGAGAGAGAAGAGCCAACAAAGAAGAGAGAGAGAGAGAGAGCCAACAAAGACAGAGAGAGAGAGAGAAAGCCAACAAAGACAGAGAGAGAGAGCCAACAGAGAGAGAGAAGCCATCAGGATAGAAGAGAGAGAGAGAGAGGAGCCAACAAAGACAGAGAGAGAGAGAGCCAACAAAGACAGAGAGAGAGAGAGAGAGCCAACAAAGAAGAGAGAGAGAGAGAGAGCCAACAAAGACAGAGAGAGAGAGAGAGCCAACAAAGACAGAGAGAGAGAGAGGCCAAAGACAGAGAGAGAGGAGCCAACAAAGACAGAGAGAGAGGAGCCAACAAAGACAGAAGAGAGAGAGGAGCCAACAAAAATAGACAGAGAGAGCCAGCCAAAGACAGAGAGAGAGAGAGGAGCCAACAAAGACAGAGAGAGAGAGCCAACAAAGACAGAGAGAGAGAGGAGAGAACAACAAAGACAGAGAGAGAGAGAGAGGAGCCAACAAAGACAGAGAGAGAGAGACAAAGACAGAGAGAGAGGAGCCAACAAAGACAGAGAGAGAGAGCCAACAAAGACAGAGAGAGAGGAGAACAAAGACAGAACAGCCAACAAAGAGAGAGAGAGAGAGCCAACAAAGACAGAGAGAGAGAGAGAGAGGAGCCAACAAAGAGAGAGAGAGAGAGAGAGGAGGAGCCAACAAAGAAGGAGAGAGAGAGAGAGAGTAAACAAAACACAGAGAGAGAGAAGAGAGAGGGGAGCCAACAAAGACACAGAGAGAGAGAGAGAGGGAGCCAACAAGACACAGAGAGACAGAGAGAGAGAGAGAGAGAGGAGCCAACAAAGACACAGAGAGAGACAGAGCCATCAAAGAGAGAGAGAGAGGGGAGCCAACAAAGACACAGAGAGAGAGAGAGCCAGGGAGCCAACAAAGACACAGAGAGAGAGAGACAGGTGCCAACAAGAGACAGAGAGAGAGAGAGAGACAGGAGCCAACAAAGACACAGAGAGAGAGAGAGAGGAGCCAACAAAGACACAGAGAGAGAGAGACAGGAGAGCCAACAAAGACACAGAGAGAGAGAGAGACAGAGCCAACAAAGACAGAGAGAGAGAGAAGGAGCCAGACAAAGACAGAGAGAGAGAGACAGGAGCCAACAAAGACACAGAAGGAGAGAGAGAGAGAGACACAGAGAGAGAGAGCCAACAAAGCCAACAAAGACAGAGAGAGAGAGACAGGAGCCAACAAAGACACAGAGAGAGAGAGACAAAGACAGAGAGAGAGAGAGAGAGAGCCAACAAAGACACAGAGAGAGAGAGAGAGCCACAAAGACACAGAGAAGAGACAGGAGCCAGAGAGAGAGAGAGAGACAGGAGCCAACAAAGACAGAGAGAGAGAGACAGGAGCCAACAAAGACACAGAGAGAGAGAGAGACAGGAGCCAACAAAGACACAGAGTGTGAGAGAGAGAGAGAGGAGCCAACAAAGACAGAGAGAGAGAGAGACAGGAGCCAACAAAGACACAGAGAGAGAGAGAGAGAGAGGAGCCAACAAAGACAAGTTTTAGTTACTAGTTAATTTCAGCTAAAGTATCCCTTGCCTATTTTGGCTATGGCACTTTATACGGTTAAAAAAAAAAAAAAAAACTTCCTCTAGAGAGAAAAACTTGAATACACTAGACAGATGGGGGAAATTTTAGGTCAGAAATGTCCCTTGGTTTTCTTGCATCACTTCCGATGCATACACACACATGTGGTACTTATATGAGTGATTGATTGTATTCATTCATAAATTACTTAGTTTAGATCACACTCATGGCTTTTCACTATTTGAGTTTATGCAACATTTCATGTTTCTTTAGAAAGATTTCTCTCAGCACAAATCATTTCGGACCAACTCTAGGGATCTGTCATTGTTTATAAAAGTCATGACAGATAAAACAGTGACCTCATCTCAAAGTCCAGTGTGACAAGGAGAAGTCAGGATAGACGTTTCAATAATTGTTTAGATGTTGTCTTTTTTTTTTTTAAATACAACTATAAATATTCTAATGTGACAGACGTGAACAAACAAAGAAAGGCCCAAAATACCAAGCATTGCAGTTGAACAAACTGAAATAGAGAAGCAATAAGCATATTAATTGTACTCATGACACACCTTTTTTTCATAGACAGGATTTCCACTTATATTGGTAAGGTAGATGAATTCCAAGTGAACAGAACCAAATTCCGCAAGGATAGAACAGCCTCCAGATGCCCATCCCCAATTACGGGTGCTGCCACTGAAATAAAAATAAAGAAAGAAGGTGATAAGGAGATACAATCCTAGGAGATTTACAAGGTTACCAAATTTTGGTAAATATTTACCTTCTGTGAATTTAAGTATTGCCAATTTTTTTCCACCTTAATAATTAAGATAATTGTTTTTGTTTAATTGTTTCAATGAACAAAAACAATTACTCAGAAAGTGGCATCAAGATTCTTGTATAAAAGATAATTTTGTCAATGATATACTCATATAGACACAAAGAAAATATATTCTCATCATATATTCCTTTCCTTGTGTTTAACTGATTTTCCTTTAAATTTATATCAGGTGAATTTTTATGAGAGTCCTGTGTATGGATGTTAAAAACAAGCAATATATTTACTAATAGTGGCAAAGATATTTTTATATATGGACACAAATTCTAAGAGAGAAATTCCTCCATTAATAACAAGCATTAAAAATAATGTTAAATCTAATGTTAAATGAAAAAATGTAATTGTCACCTTCTGTTTTCTTCAATGATCTTTTTTATTTTTTTCTCCTCACTAAAGTCTTTCTATTCTCTTTCACTCCCAGAACCTCTTTGCATCTTATTGGCATTATCAACTTGCTTGGGGGTGAGATAAAAAAAAAAAAGAAAAAAAAAAAAGGTCCATTTTGTAACATTTTTTATAGTCTTTCATCCTCCTGACTATTTCTTGATATATAATAAACGTCATTGAAATGATGATGATGCCATTAAGTTTGAAAGACACTAATTTTGAATTCTATTTTCATTTATTTTATCTCCAAGTATCACTTTCAGTTTTGGAGTGTTATTAGGTCAGTGGCTGTCAGATAAAGTCGAAAAGGTGTTGTGTGTTGACATAATAGACAAACAAAAGAATGAAGCAAAAACGAGATAGAGATTTTTATTCTCTCTGGAACATTTTCAGGTAGAGAAAGTTTTGAGGATAATTTCTGAAAGAAAATGCCAACTTGAGGAATTTACTTAAACATCTCTGTAAAGAGTGAAAGATGAACTTAATCTATTGGTGAATTAGCAAGTAAGTGATGCATATAGCCTAAGCCATGTGCAGCTACTGCATGGAGTACTAATTTTGGCATCCTATCTTGATCTCGGCCTGCAGTGAAAGACAGCTAGAATCTTCAGATTTGCTGCATGCATGCTCCCAGTTTTTTTTCCCAAAAGCTGAATAGGGGTTATTACCACCAGTTAGGTTATTGATGCTTATGTATCAAGCTAAAAGATTTCATGTCTGCTCAGAAATTTCTACCGACTTTCTTTTTTTAAGTGTTTCACCCCAAGCAAGGCAGGAAGCCATTAGGACGCATGGGGTTACAGAAAATTTGGAGCAAGATCAGATAGGAGTGATAGAAGAAAGGATGAGGAGAAGGGTAGTGGATAGATCAAGGCAACTGGAGATGTCAATTGACATTACATTTAAATAGCTGGAGATTATAGCTCTCAGGGAAACTGGAATAGGGAAAGGAGTTCCACAGGCATGAAGTCTGGGAACCAGCGAATGCAGCTCCTTGGAGCAATTGCCATGAAAGTATTTGTAAAACAGACAGAGGCGATGACGTGCCTGTGAGAAAGTGACTGTAGACGAGATGCCAGAGCAGGGCCAATTATATTGCATATCCGCCTCTGGAGCCAATCAAGAACCCCGAGGCAAACAGAAGGGGCTTAAACCATTTCTGTTGTTATGCAAATGAAATGGGAATTGTGATCATTTCTCAACTTTATTCAAACATCAAAAAGAAAAAATTCCAACCAAGGAAAAATATTAAAAAAAAAAAAAAAAATGTAGGCAAATTTACAAACAGAAAAGAAACAAGGCTTTTCCCACACAATCCTTAAAATAAACTAAAGATGTTCCTTGAAGTCTTCAGTTAATGCCTAGATATGCGTCATATTAATTTTTTGAGTAGCCCCCATAAAAACTGATATTTCTATATTTCTTATCTTTATCCCAGATAATTCACAAATTTGATCCTCCTGGAGTAGCAGCTCATTACCAATCAACCAAAAGTAGGACAGGGAAAATGAGAAGATGCATAGATATTTAATTCATTGTCTTCTTAATTACTTGTAAGGCTAATAACAGCAAATGGCTGCCATAATCATTAAAACTTACAACCTACACATTTCTCAACTAAATGATGTCTTTGAAACAAAATTTATCAAGGATTTGGTGGAAGAAAAGGTGTGACAAAAGTAATTTCTTTCTTTTCTTCTTTTGCAATGCCAATAAGAATTACATTAATGAAGGTAGACATTCATAATCGTGACTTGATCAGCAAAAAAAAAAGAAAAACTATTCAACAAGAGACAGATATGTCAACATCTACTTTGGCTACTTCAATTGTGCTGCTATCTTACTGCTAGATATTTGAATCATTTTATAACTATTTGTATTGTATCACCTTAGAGTATTTCAGGACACAGACAATCAGGTCTCTCCACAGAACTTGAACTTGGCTCGCTAATCCCACCAGACTAGCCCAGCAATTGAACTTGGCTTGCTGAGTCTCCTTTATGCACCAATAACCATTACACTACCCATACATACTACAGTGTGAAAAAACTAACAAGAATCATCTTTAATATACATTTACTTATTTAAACTGGTGACTTCATCTTGATTGTTATAGTCACTTTGTTTCATTAATTGTATTCTATCTTCTTCAGGTGACTGTTATATTTGGTAGCAATAACGTGAAGAAGGCCAAAAGTTAAAATAGGTGTAATGATGTGATATAACAATCAAGCTGAGAACTCCAGTTTTAATAATAATATTTTCTCATTTCAGAAAATCCCACAAAAAATGTCTTCACTTACTGGCTCCTGACATTGTGCCTGACTAATGTGTAGTACTGAGCCTAACTGCTAAAGCACAAGATACAGAGAATTTTTTTTTCTTAAAATTTAAAAGAAATGGTTTGGTTTATTTTGTTTTATGGCATATCAACCTCAATGAGATATTTAATGTTAACAAAATTTTGGGGATAGCTTCGTATGAATAGAATATGTATTCTTTGTAAGAAATCAGTTGACATATTTTTGGTTGAGAGTCAAATACATTGCTGGTAATATTTTTTTTCAAAAATTTATTGCTGATATTTTTACACTTTCATAGTCTTTTGACCCCAGTTTACGGGGTTAACTATTTGCCCATGTCTGGGACCCTAAAAGGTGCCATCACTCCAGGTGATAGTGGACCTGGGAACAACAGCAATTAAGTGGTACTTCCATGCTCCTCAAAACCGCCTCATCAGAGGCCTTGCTGCCAGATGTAGTTTATCATCAACTGAAGAAATAAATCTTGATATGAAATCATATCAGAATGCTTTCTATAGTTTGGCATCAGAGTAATAAACCGACAACCTAAATTCTTTTACGCTATTTTAGAAACATATAAGGTAGATAAATAGAAGAACTATTTACAGGCAAGCCAGAAACCTATCAAAGACCTCCACTTGTCACAAATATATTGGAATTTAAAGACATTCTTTTGTCTTGCATCAACACAATTTCAGTCCCTCAACATTTTATGATTACCAAAACTTTCATATGAAAAGCACTTTGTATAAACATCACCATTGGTACAATTCCATCAACCACACAACATTCACTAAATATATTGCAATGAAGATTTTACTTTAAATACACAATTTAAAAGTTATTCAGCGACTTGTATGTGCTAATAAACATTACTGTTAGCTCGTTATTATGTTACAAAGTTACCTTGTTTAATATTGCAACACAAGTGGCCTGGGTTCTAATTAATTAAGCATTTTCACCTGAAGGTGAAAAGCCTCACCTGGCAGATTCTCTTCATTGATTGGTAGAATGCAAGTTTATTAATTTTAAACTACTTCAACTCAACCCTGTTCAACACCTACAACAGGATCACACTTGTCCAATATCCCACTAGGTATCAGTTCTTGTAGCTTTACGTAAGAGATCAAGTGATTTTCACTCTTGTCTATCAGTTAAATAATGCTGCTGGGATCAGAAGACTTTGAAGTTTAGAAAACTCAAAATTAACTAACCTTTGAAGACACAACAATGTAGCAAGTCATGGCTATTAGACAATTTATACACAAATTTGAAAGGCTCAAATTCGAAATGAGATATTTGGTTAATGAAAAAACTGCAGTAAATTCTGTAAATAAATACAGTAAAGTGAGCATATGGTTAAGTAGTTAGAATATTTGCATTAAAAGGTCGGTTCAAATCTCACCAGGGTCAATTTGTCAGGGAGGTGACTTCTTGATGTTATCGGGGCCTCAAGAGGGGATTGCAGTGTGTGGTACCATTGGAAAATGCATCAAAATCATACCATGAATTGACCCAAGCCTTATGAGTGAAATCAAATAGTGGAACTGTTTAAAAACCATTGATGGTTGTGCTAGCACAAAGTCACAAGTCATTGTGACTGAGGGTTTGAGCACACTGTCCTTGTTCAAACTGTTGGTCATTCCAGATTATGCATTTTCTCTCAGAAACTGTAACTAAGGTCTGCTCAGTTTGTGGGCTTTGTGGGTGTTGGAAAAACACAAATGTGCCTGTGGAGGAGTTTACAACAATGATTGGCTGCCCAGCCTAGGAGACATGTGTGCTCAGAAACAAGTAGTCAGCTATTACTATTATTATAATTATAGGGAGGAGGAGGAGGAGGAACGGAAATGAATATTCTGAAGATGATGCAAAAGAAATGTGAAACTTTAAAAAGTAAAACTATATTTTATTTACAAAGTGAATTTTGATGAGAATTTTTCTGGAATTGACATCCTCAGAATACAGAAACAGAGAAAGCAAAATGAAAAAGCTGCTAGCTGTAAAAATGAAAGGGAGACAACTCTTTATTTGAAAGCAGTAATGTTGGCATTCTACATATCCTCAGAAGCCAAAAAAGGACTTTAAATTACAAGTTTATTTAATATGACGAAAAAATTAAATTCATCCTTTGAAACTAACCAAAAAAAATGATTTTAGATTATGTTAATGAGGTTAAAATAAACTAATTTTGACGACGTTTTAATCTCATCTGTTGGTCAGAATGGTAGAGTAAAGATATTAATTAACGTCTTAACAACACACATATAATAGAGTATAAAGTATAAAGAATGAGTCAATAGACAAAATGCTTTAGAATTAAAAGTAGCAAATCTTTACTAATTCTAGGGCAATCATGGCACTTCACAATTTCTCTTAATAAAGCTTGTCTTTTTGCTATCTCTCCTAATCCCTGTTCTGTCCACTTTCTCCATAAACTGCCCTAGAAATTTCAACTCTCTCTTTCTAATGTTAAGTATAAGCATAAATTTGTTTCCATTTTCTCTAAAACTGTCATATTCAGTCCATAGTATCCTCAAGTATCCTTCTGTAGAACCACATTTCTATTGCCTCATGTCTCTGCTAATGTAAAATTAGATTTGAGAAGGATATTAGAATAACCCAGAACCTACACTGGGAGCATATGGATAGAAAATGAATTCAATGAATATAAAAATAATAGAAAGAAAGAGACAGAAGACAAGGATGTGTCTTCTCACCAGATTTATTCAACCTTTAAGTTGAGGTGATTTTTAGAGAATTAGATGTCCTAGCAGGATTCATTATTGGCAGCCACAATCTTAACAACATAAGATATGCAGATGACACAGTTATGATAGCAGACATAGAGAAGAAACTATAAGAACTTCTACAGAAGGTAGTGAAGGAATGTGAGAAGAAAGGACTAAACATCAATTTTAAAAAGATGGAATGGATGGTTGTCAGTGAAAGGAACAACACAATATGCAAATTACAATTTGGAAACACCAAAATCAAGCACGCACAAAGAATTAAATATCTAGGAAGTGTCTGTCTATATTTCCGAGATGAGATATTGTAATTATTTACATTATTCGGACTGTTGTCATTTTTATTGTCATATTCATGGTGTTTTGGCCAGTTTACATACCAACCTTCTTCAGATGATTGGAATTTCAAACTGAACCCTTTATTTTATCTGCTGGGGTAGATTGTTCTAGTTCCACATGTCATGTCTCATCCGGATGTCTCAGTTATCCCCTTTTAATTCAACTCTCCAAGTTTTTGTTCATCATTGCCAGTAGCCAGGTATTGAACTCACAACTCTTTGGGTCACATGGCACAGTGGATAAAAGCATTGATTGGATCCAGTGACTTGACCCAGAGTTGAGTTAAAGGAAGATAACTGAGACATCTAGACGAGGCATGGCACATGGAACTAGAACAATCTACCCTGGAGGATGAAATAAAGGGTTCAGTTTGAAATTCCAATCACCTGATGAAAGCCAGAGCATATAACAGCCAAAATGTTGTGAATATGACAATAAAGATGAGGACAATAGTCTAAATAATGTAAATAATGTAGGAAGTGTTTTAAAAGAGGACAGAAAATGTGACTCCAAAATCCAAAGGTGCAATGGAACAATGAAAGCTAAGTAAAGTATTAAGAAACAGGAAAATTTCATTAGACTACTAATCAGTTATTTAATATCAGTACTCCTATATTACATAACAGTTTAATACTCTGTTCCTATATAACAGTGAATTCTGAACAATCTCTTCACAGATAAAGAAGAGAATTCTACATACCCAATAAAAAATAAAACATAAGCTGATACAAATCAGAAAGATCTTTGACAAATCTTCCTAATTGAAGTTGCCAAAAATCAAGATATCTGAACAAGAATGTCAACACTTTTGCCTGGCGTCTTGTAGTCTCTATGGTATGAAGACGAGATAATGGAACGATGATGGTAAGCAAATATATTCATTCTTTATTTTTTTTACTCTTTTATGCATAAAGACATAGAAATTCCGACATAAGGAAATATCATTTTTAATGGATATACTCAAAATGTGTTTCAGAGACTAAGCCAGAAAGCATTCAGATATTTTATTTTTGTTTATAACAATATGGAAGCATCACTTTTTTAAAGATTTCTCCAGGATAACTTTCAGAGGCTGAAACAAGACTTATTTGGACATTATCTTTAAACAATAAGGAATCTTCACTTTTTAATGGATATACTCAAAGTGCATGATATAGATATGCAATGGGAGATGTATTGCTTAAATCAGAAGATAGATGGAACTCATTAGCCTGAGGGGGCAGTCCACCAGATTTCAAACATGCACTGACTTGCAGCCTTTACCAATCTTGAGAACTCTCCAGCAATGCCTCATCTGTGATCACCAACAGCAGAATTTTTAAAAAGTAAAATAAAAAACATTCCCCGTTACAGATCCATAGTCTTTTAAGACTGACAGATGACAATTCTTCTATGTGCCGTGTCCTTTCAGCACATGGGCAATCACGGTTCTCCACAATTTTCCTGTCTTTTGTTGCTATTATTAAATGTTGCCTTTTTGTTATCTCTCCTAAACCCTATTCTGCCAGCCATTTACACAAGCTCATGAGGTAGGTTATGTGCTGTTTTCCTCTGTCCCTCTTGGGTTCATAAATCATGTGAGTGTCAAATTTTCTAAGCTCTCTTTCCTCATTATGGGTCCTAGAAATTTCAACTATAGGTTTCTGATGTTCTGAGAATGGTTATTTGAATTTGGCACTTATATGGCCAGTGTCACATGACCCTTATAAGGGAAATGATTGGTCCTTTCTTCAACAATTCTGTGTCTACATTATATTGTGTGCTTGATTAATCTTATTTTGCTACTGATAATTCTAAATTCAAATAATCTAGCCAATAGCGATTATGCATATTGTCTTTTCTAAGACCTCTGTATTACATGAGTTGCTAAAAAGTTCTCAGCTTGATCAAGAAAATAATAAAAATCTAGTATTTTGTTATTTGGTCAAATTTTAGGAAGATGGTTAGGATGAGAACTTTTCAGTAGCTCTCTTGTAGATAAAAAAAATTATCTTAAAACTTGAATACTTAACAATAGTTTCAGAGTAAACAGAAACAAAAAGGTAATTTATACTTAACATCAGAAAAAGAGAGAGAGCTGAAATTTCATGCGCATATAATGAGGTAAGAGGGCTTGAAAAATTTGACACTCATAGGACAAATTGAAAGTAAGAAAGACAGAGGAAAACAATGCATGACCCAACACCTAATGAGCTTGTGTAAATGGATGGCAAAACAAGGTTTAGAAGAGATAACAAAAAAAAAAAAAAATTACCAGCGTTACAAAAATTTACAAAAAGAGAAAAAATTGTGGAGAGCCATGATCATAAACGTCCTGAAGGCACATGTCACACAAAAGAACTTCATCTAAAATAATTTATAAAGATACAATACTAAAAAAACAAAAGAGAAACTTTTCTGGAATGGTTATGATGTGAAGATTACAGAAGATATATAATATAGAAGATTAGCTTGTACTTTGGAATAATCTTTAGATATAACAGATTAATATTGGAATGATCCTGGATTAGTTTGGAAGATATTTTATTAATCATTTCCTTCCAAATAAGGCAATAAAGCTATTAAGACATTACTAAGATTATGAGGGGAAAAAAAAACATTAAAAAGATAATGAAAGAACAGGATTGAGAAGACAGAACAGTTGACATTGCATTTAAATTTTTGAAGATCAAAACTAAAGATCAGAATTGGAAATCAAGAAGCTGGAAGAGAGTTCCACAAGTGAGAAGTGCAAAAGAAGAAACTATCAGCATAGAACTTATGGTTACATATAGACATTTCAAGTGAAAAATGATGAAATCTTGCTGCTAATCTAGTACTGAGCTTTAATTCATAGAGTCTAGGTAACAAAAGAAAATATTTATAGAAAAGGCACAGAGAAGCTATGTTATGGCAGAGTGGGAATATATGATTAGATATGAATATATAAGAAATGATACCAAATGCCTGAGTGTTTGATTTACATTGATAATTGGTCACTAAACTCTTACCAGTATTCACAATATTTTCTTTATGATGAACTGAGATTATATTTTGAATTGTCCAATGATAATACACAATGAAAAAGAAACAAAATAAATGGTTCTTGATTACTTACGTCTTGAGGTTGATCATGGACTGAGGAATACCAGTTGCTGTGTTGAAGGCAGGCAATAACTTATTTCCAACTGAGATTGCTTTCTCTTTAAACATCTGGAGAAATAAAAACAATAAAAAAATTAAGAAAATGTGATAAGTAAACTTATATTTTTTCACTTACTCTATAGCAATATTGACCAATTTATTGTACAGGGAATTGACAAGTAATAAAAAAAAATCATTATTCTCATTACTACATCTATTAGTGACATTAATCTTTATTAGTCTTGTAGCAAAACTGATGTTATTTTCATATTAATTACTTTAAAGAGGCAGGAATCCAATTCTTCCCACAGTACTATTACTAGTGCAAGATCCAATATATAATAAATAACATTTGATACAAGTGTAAATGAAAGCTTCATTAATTCACTCTGTTATTGACACTTTGACTATAGACATATATTAAGCTAAGACTGACACAAGGACACAATAATGGAGAACATAGCAATAACCAAACTCCCTAAAAATGGCATGTCATATTAATTCTCAATATCAAGCATCTACTATCTGTTGGAGTTCAAATCTCAGTGAAGACAGACTTCCTGTAAAACTGCCCATTATTCAAACCTTTTTTTAAAAAAATTCTGTTATACAGACAGGTAGTGAGTGGAGTTATTTCATAAACTTTTGCTCACTCTGCCTGTGGTTCTGTATGTTCAACTTAGTTCAATCTATATAATAAAGATCTGTATGTTTATTACTACAACATTGCAAAAATTGGCACATCATAGCCCAGTTGTTTGTTGGGCAGTTTTAGTAAAATAATCTAATTACAGCCCAATTTGACCAATGGCTAGAGTAATTTTTCAGTCAGTTATGTGCCATGCGTGATACATGCTTAGGTGATCATGTATCTTTTGATACATGACTGATGAGGCAGATTTTTTCCCGCAGTAGGTTGCCCTTTCTTTCTGCGGTAGACCAATTGCTATCCAAAGCTATAGAACCCTGTCTGTCCTGCTATTTACCCATAACTGGAGGTGAGAAGAGGAGGCTTCATACCTTTCCCAAGGGTATTAGCACGTAAGTGAATGTAATGGATTCAACTGGAATTCGAACTCGGTTCTCAGATTCCTCACTCCAAACCGCTATCCATTACTCCACCTTACCTCCTTAAGTAATCTTTACTTAAGTATAAAGTGACAAAAAAATGTCTACATGTTACAGAATGCAAAGGCCAAGGCCAGAATGGTCAGCAATTGGCCGCAGTACTTCATAGGCAATGTATTCTGACAGTGATGGATTGCCTTTACTTGGGTTTTGATAATAAGTCCAAATCAATATAAATTCATCAGAGGATTGTAAGAATTCTGAACCATCAATGTGCCTCCCAAACTCAAGTTAGTAATCAGCTAAGACCACCAGCACAGGGATGCTGAGTCGACATGTGTTCATGTGACGTCATTCTTCCCACTGCCTCTTAGAATCCAAGCTGCTACCACTCTCCTAATAAAATGCATGAGAAAAAGAAATGGTCCTTTCCATTGTTACCATTTTAAATAATAGTGTGGAGATCCAGAGACAAAACTGAATGCAACATAAAGGAAATAATTCCAGGTTTATTAACTGTTAATTACAGAGTTGTCTCTCTTGACTTGTCTGCACTCTGTCCAGCCATAGTAGCAGACCAATGATGATACTTCAGTAATAAGTGAGCTAAGTGATAAAATTATTCTTGTTAAGATATCCATTATGCCACAAGAATATTTTCAGATCATTATAAAACAAATTCTATAAATAGGAATTTATTTGACATTCAGGCTGTCAAATTTACAGAAAAAATATGTTTGTAATAATTCTTATTAACTTTTGTTCCATAGCAAAATGTTTTAAACAAAAATATTTCATAGAATATAAATCTATGTAAAAGCTTCAAGATCCCACTGGTTCCACTTTTACCTGGAATTGTTCTAATGGCAAAGATAAGCAGCCTATTTGTATAGATTAATTCCTTTTGATTCCATTCAGATATTTGCATTAAGAAATCAGCTATTACAACCATTTAGCTATACACACACAAAGCACTATCCCTATAAGTTCAGTTCTAAAAGTCTGTATACAAAACTCATTATGTTGTTTTAAATAATGTATATTTCTTTTTGATCATGATCATCATTATCATTTAAAATGCAATTTCTTCTGTTGAGGATTATATTGGGATAGTGCCAATGAAATGAAAACGAAACAGAAACAAACACTGAAGAACTTGCAAAACAAATCTTATTTATCATTTTAATCCCAGGATTTTAGAAACATTTTGCATGTTTATCACATTTTAGGCATTGTTGGTTGGTAAGCCTGTTTATAAAATAAATACCGACTGCATGTATATGAATTGAGACAGGAGAAGAGTCACTTTTAGAACAAAAAGTTTGGACAAGAAAATAAAAATTAATGAAGAACTGTTGATTTTGGGATGTGCATGAGGTTATTAGATGCAGATACAATAACCACAAACAAAATCTATATATCTATATATATATATATATATATATATATCTATATATATATATATATATATGGGGGGGAAGAGAGAATAACATATACATGACTATATATCAATACACAAATTTTAAAAGAAAAAAATTAAATTTAAAGGATTAAAATTTTAGTGTCCTCTCTTCTTCCATATATATTTATTTATATCAGCATAAATATCCCTTTAGTCTGATGATGCCCTAAAGGATGAAATACATGATATAAAAAGTTTTTTTTTTTTTTTTTACACTTTGTCAACACAAGGAATTAAATATGCTATCTTCTTTATATAATCAAATAAATTTTAAGGAAAACATTCTTGTTAGGATATCCATTATGCAACAGGAATGTTTGTTCATAAAAGATTTTTAGTTTCACACATGTGGGTCATTTCTAGTCCTTAATGATCTTTGTATAAATATTTGGATGTGGTGGTGGTGGTGGTGTAATGGTTAGAAACTCGGAAAGTGAAATCAGCAAGCCATGTTCAAATACCAGCCCAGTTCATTACATTCATTTGTGCACAAATACTCTTGTGGAAAGGGTATGAATCCATTTGTTCTCACCCCAGCTTTGGGTGAAATAGCAGAGATGACTAGGTTCTCTTGCCTTGAGGTTCCAACCAGTTTAGGAGAAAGAAAAAAATCTGAATTCAGAAACCAGCACAAAGAATGATAGGCTCTGTCAGGCTATCATGCCCTAGATACATCACTGTTGTTATGGCTGCAGTACATGTAATGCCCTACAACCTTTATGGATTACAGGACTTGTGAGGTGATTTGATGATAAATGCATGAATGTGTTTACATTTTGTTTGGAGAAATAAAACATTTAAAATGTACAAGACAATAATACCTAGAGATGAAAGTAAAAAGTTACCAATAATTTTTTACATTTAATAACTATATATGCATTGGTAAGTACTCACTGGACTAAAAGAACATAAGGGAAAGGATTTCACAATAGTTTTGAAAAATGTCAATTTGAAAGTAGAATGAAGCACCATTAAATGACACATTGAAATTGAAAAGTTTACTTTCACGTGTGTGATTATACAATTCAGAAATGAATGAAAGGAAATTATTATGTCTCATTCAGGATGACTTAGTTTTTCTCCATGTGATCAGAAAAGAAAGTAATAAACAAAAAACATGTAATCTCTGATACAAGGTGGCATATGTGGCTCAATCAGCCCCAATATGACATCTTCATCATCTGAGTTATTATGCTAGAGCAATAAGAAGAACATTACATTTGAAATCAGTTAAGAGTCACCACAAAAAGTCTTATCTAGAAAGCCTTAAAGTTTTGACTATCACCAGAATGTGAGCCTTGCCAAGAATTTGCACAGCTTGCAGCCCAATATCAGATATGGAGTATTATCAATTACCATATGTCTAAAATATCAATACATAATATACAGGCTCATTCTTCAAGAGAAATTTGCTTAAAATTCACTGACATTTATTTAGAAAAGAAAGAAGAGAGTAATACAACTTGTGAATGGTAACTCCAGAAATCTATTGAGTGATTCTTATCTCCAAGGTGATTCCTGATAAAGAAAGATTTGCACCATATTTCTAATATTGTTTTTAATCATTTCACCCCAAGCAAGGCAATAAAGTCACTAAAACACAAGGAGTTACTGAGTGTGAGGAAATATGAGAAAAAAATATAGCAGGCTTTCATAAATTCAATATCTGAAAGAATAAAAATTTTAATACTGTCAATGATAGCTTTATGAAATCTTAATTTGTGTAATATTTTTGATATTAGGGAATTATGCTTTTATTTAATAAATTAAATTCGATGATTTGACCACTTGCCAATAGATTATCACTAATCATTGTGGATAATTTTATTATTTCAGAATTGCCTAAAAGAACCAATCAACAGTAAAAAGCAGCAAATGGCTAGTGACATGTTGTTCACATAAATTCTTCTTATTCTCAATTGTATAACTTTTTTGGTGACTGCTAAATATATTAGCAAAAATAATTAGCCTGCACAAATAAGAAACATTATTATTGGAGAATAAGTATCAAAATTTAAAGGTTTCACCGTTTTAAAATCTCCAAGTTTGCAATTCCTTATTAGATGCTTTATCTTATTTTGAAATATTAAAGAGATTCTTCAAGGACAGTAAAACAGGATGTAGCAGACAAGATGATAAAATTAAATGCTTTAGAAAAGAAGAACTTCAGAGAATTTCTATAATATTTCACATCTAAATAAAAGTAAAGAATTATTTCTGTCACTAGTTTTCAATATCTAAATCTTTGATCATAGAGCAGCTTCAATAAAGATAATCCTCTCCATTAATTTTACTTATTTTTTATCTTTTATTAATTCATTTTTGTCAAAATATCTTTAGATTCTCGAATTATTCAATTAATTTTTTTAAAATAGTTTAAAATTTCATTTTTGAAAAAAAAAAAAAAAAAAAAAAGGCCTTTTTTATTTCTCATATTTGAAAATAGAAAACACTGCTTTTATCTGAGGCAGCGTTTTCCTTCTGCCTCTAAGGAAAATACCAAAGATTGATTGTTAATTTCCTTACTTTCTCTTTGAAA